CCCGCTGGCCCGCCTGACCCGGCCTTGCCCTGCCCTGCCCAGGCTGTGGGCGAGGCTGATCCTGGGGAGAGTGGGTGGGAGGTCCTAGCTCTCTGGGGCTGGGCCTCCCCAGCAACCTCCCTCCCGCCTGGCCCCCATTTGCTTAAACCTAGGCTTTCCTCCACCACCTCCTGGTCTAGCCCCTATGCGCCTCCTACTCCTCCTTCCCCTTGGCTCCCTTCTCCACCCCCACCTCCCCCTTCCTTTGCCTGTCTCCTTTTCCCTTCCATCCATCTTAAAGGAAGCAAGGACCACACTGAGTTTCCCTACCTGTAACACACCCAGATTCTCCTCAAACTTGGGGAGAGGTTCTTTCCAGAAGCCTTGAGCCAACCCTGATCTCCAGGGTGTGTGTGTGGTGCTTGTGGGGGGAGGTGAACTTGGGGATGGTAGCTGGAGAGACCAGGAGATAAGTAGCTGGCGAACTCACATGGTGAGGGAGGAATCGAGTGTGGGAGCACATGCCTCCGGTGAGCCCTACCCCAGAATAAATGACCAACAAAGATCTGACCGTGAATGAATGAATGACAACTGCTATCAGTGAAAAGAGATCTGTCCTGCTGCACGACCCAGGGCAGGTGTGTGTCTGCAAACCTTGTGGTTCAGTTCATTCACCTGCAGGTGGGCTGTGGGAGTTTGTGTGACTGCATTTACCGGTGACTCACATACATGTGAGGAAACCTGCGTATGAACCCACCGTGTGAGTGTAAGCATTTGCACATGGTAATGCGGGACCTGTAAAGGAGTGTTTGTGAGTGTGGGTGTGGGTGTTTGCCAGTGTGAACGCAGTTAGGAGTAGGCCTGAGTGTTAGAAACCATGCATGTCAAAGTCCACGGAGACTCGTCCGGGTGGTGTGTCAGAGGAGGGCAGTTGTGGCCAGCGGGAGGTATGTGGACTCTGTGTGTGCCTGGGTATACTAGCCACTGGTGAGTTGTTGTTGGGAGCTGGGGAGAGCCGTGTAACAGGAGATGTATGTACGGGAGGCCTAGGGGCCTGACCGTGGTAGGGCAGTTGTGGGTCAACATGGAGGTTGGGGGAGCATCTGGGAGCTGTGTGTGCTAGGGGCGCGGGTGCAGCCTCCGTGGCTGTGTCAGATGTGTTCTTCACTTCGTCCCTGCACAGGTGGTTCTCTGGGTAGAGGGAACCTGGCTGACTTGAGGGCAGGCAGCTTGCAGAGTATTTGCTGCCCTGGCTGTTTGGGGAATGCCTTGTCCCTCTGGGACTGCCTCTGAGTCCCAGGCTCTCCTCCATCTGGGCGAAGGCTTTTGTATCCCTGTGAGCCCTCCCCCGACATTCCTTTTGGGCTCTGAGGGGAAGAGGGCCAGAGGGCCAGAGGGCCTAGCTCATGAGGACCCCTCCCTGTGGGAGGGGAGGACGCCTGAGACCTCTCCCACTTCCCACCTCCTCACATGCCACTGGCTTCCCTGCCCCTCCCTGGGAGAGAAGGGTGATCATACCCATTCTGAAGTAGGGCAAACTGAGAATTTCTGGCTAGCTTAAGAGAGGATGCTGGGTGTGGGTTTTCAGCAGTTCTCTTTGGGCCAAGACTAAGGCTGGGGATGGAGTCCTGGGAGGTTTCTGGCTCAAAACCTAGAACCTTAGCTCATCTGACTGGTCCAAGATGGGTGGGTGTTGAGTCTTGGGCTTTACTTGGCTTTCTCAATCCTGGTGGGTCCTGCAGGCACTGACCTGTGGCCTGGACCCACCCTCCACCCCATATGCTCAGTCCAGCGGGGGCGGGTGAAGGGCGGGACTGCTGCCAGATCTAGTCAGACAGGTGGAGCTGCCAGGGCAGGAGCCTCAAAGAGCCAGGCTCCTGCAGAGGAAGGGCGAGAGGAGTGCACCCGAGACAGACGAGAGGAGAGGCTGGAGGTGAGAGCCCAGGAGGACAGAGGAGAGCCGAGGGGGTGTCCCGACAGGGAGAGGAGGAGGGGACAGCAGGGACCATCCCGGGAGGTGAGCATCCTGAAGTGGGACAGAAGAGGTTGAAGGGGAGGGTCCCTGGAGAGAAGAAAGACCCAGAGCTGAGAGATGGAGATGTGAGACTTTGGTGAGGAAGGGAGAGATGGCTCATTCTGGAGATGAGTTCTCTGTTGGTGAGGGTTAAGACTTTCTGGAAGGACTCCAGAAACAGAGTTCTCGTGGAAGAAGAAGGGAGGGGAGGTCAGGAAGTTAAATCCCTGGAGAGGACCAGAGAGTGAGGAGAGGAGAGTAAGGTGTGGAGAGGAAGGGCGGAACAGCCCTTCCCAGGCAGGCAGGATGTACGGGAAGCAGATGCCCCTGCCAAACGGCCTCCTCCTACCCCTCGTCCCCAGTCCCTAGCAATTCCTTCCTCTCGCTGTTCTGTGAGGTGTGGGGTGCTGTCCCGTCTGGTCTGTGTCCTGTCTGTGGGTCAGGGGTGAAGGTAGGGGAGGGAGAATGCAGTCGGCCCAGTCTGACACTCATCCTCCATACCTCGCCAGAGTCCTTAGCCAGGATGGAGGCTGTTGTGAACTTGTACCAGGAGATGATGAAGCATGCAGGTAAGATGCTGTCCACCAGCCCTTCCTCCATCCCACCCTGAGATCCATGGATCTAGGCTGTCTCCTAATGGAGAGTCCCTACCAACCCCTGACCCTTTGTGACCTGACCTCATGCCTGCAAACCTGGTAGGGACCCTTGGACCCTGTGACCCTTCCTGACTCCTTTGACCCTTATTCACAGATCCCCGGATCCAGGGCTACCCTCTGATGGGGTCCCCCCTGCTAATGACCTCCATCCTCCTGACCTATGTGTACTTCGTTCTTTCACTTGGGCCTCGCATCATGGCCAATCGGAAGCCCTTCCAGCTCCGCGGCTTCATGATTGTCTACAACTTCTCACTGGTGGCATTTTCCCTCTACATTGTCTATGAGGTGGGCCCCTGGGATGCCTGGGCTTTAATGCTTGCTGGCAGGATGAGGGGCGGGCCTGAGGGCCAGAGCACGTCTTCTATTTTCCAGACAGGCTCAGATCCATTTCTTTATCTAGATAAAGGAAGAGATTGGGAGAGGGGAGGGAAGTCTAGTGATCTAACCTACACCCCTTCGTAGTTCCTGATGTCTGGCTGGTTGAGTACATACACCTGGCGCTGTGACCCAGTGGACTTTTCCAACAACCCGGAGGCACTGAGGGTAAGTAGGGACAGGGGCCAGATCCTGCCTTGGCAGCCTGGGACTAGGAGCAGTTTGGGTGTGACCTGTGCTCATGGACCAGTTGGGGAGACTCTTGGGGATCCTAAGGCTGCTCTGACTTCTTGCAGATGGTTCGAGTGGCCTGGCTGTTCCTCTTCTCCAAGTTCATTGAGCTGATAGACACGGTGAGTCGTTACAGGAGATACAAGAACTTGGGGGGAGAAAGGATTGAGAGGCCCTGGCACTGAAACCTCTTTCCTGACTCTTCTCTCAGATCATCTTTATTCTCCGGAAAAAAGATGGACAGGTGACCTTCCTACATGTTTTCCACCACTCAGTGCTTCCTTGGAGCTGGTGGTGGGGGGTAAAAATTGCCCCAGGTGAGTGGTGAAGGCCACTGAGGGAGGAGGGATGACCACTGGGAATGAGGCCGGACTCTCCTGACCCTGTCCATTGTCCATTCACAGGAGGAATGGGCTCTTTCCACGCCATGATCAACTCCTCTGTGCACGTGGTCATGTACCTGTACTATGGATTGTCTGCCCTTGGCCCTGTGGCTCAGCCCTACCTTTGGTGGAAAAAGCACATGACAGCCATCCAGCTGGTGAGGGGCCTGGGCCCGATCTATAACCATCCCAGCATTCCTGGTCTGGACCCTACCTTTATCCAGCCTACCTCCTCTGTCCCCATTCCTCCCTACTCAGAGTTCTTTCTCTACCCCTTCCCTCCAGTCCTCTCACTGTTCCCTCTGACCCTTCCTTGCCTTGCTCTGTCCTAGATCCAGTTTGTCCTGGTCTCACTGCACATCTCCCAGTACTACTTCATGTCCAGCTGTAACTACCAATACCCAGTCATCATCCACCTCATCTGGATGTACGGCACCATCTTCTTCGTGCTCTTCTCCAATTTCTGGTATCAATCTTACACCAAAGGCAAGCGGCTGCCCCGTGTACTTCAGCAAAACGGAGCTCCAGGTACTGCCAAAGTCAAGGCCAACTGAGAAACATGGCCTAGCTGGGCGCCCACCTAAGTGCCTCAGGACTGCACCTTGGGCAGCATCTGTCATTGTCCTCCCCAGCTACACCTGTGACCAGAGCTCATGTGATCAGGACTGAGCTGGGGGACAGGCCCTCTGCTCCCCACAGCTGGTACACAGGGACCACTGCTTCCGTTCCTCCCCCACTTCTCCCGGCCAGCCCCAGGGACGTGGCCTCACCGCCCTCTGCCGCTCCAGAGCAGAGCTAGGGGCCTGGAAGGGCTGGACACTTACTTTCCCCTCCCTGCCTTACACTTGGGAGAGGAGCACTCAGGGCTGGCCCCCACCAGGGTCTTGTGGCCTTTTTCCTCACACTGAAGAGGTCAGCAATAATCTGTCACTATGGATCCAGGCTCCCTCCTTGTCCACCTCACACTGAAGCAGGAGCTTCTTGGCCAAAGGTCAGGGTGGGTGGGAGGCCTGGGAATATAGCCTGTGGAGGCTGCTCACTCACTTATGTCTCCATTAAAAGTGACAGAGGCAACCACTGAGGCTGTGTGTGTACATGTGTGAACGGATGAGGTGGGGTACAAAGCCGGCCAGCCTGCCTGCAAACAGGAGGGATGGGCAAGGCTCCCACAGGGTGACTGTTTCTCGAGCTCTCTGTCCACAGTGGAGAGGGAGCCCTTGGGAAGGCTGCGGGGACAGAGGTCATGCAAAGAGAAGAGAGGGAGGCGTGACTTTATTAGAAAAGTAAAAAAAAAAAAAAAAAAAACACAAAAAACTGGTGAGTTGGTTCTCAACGGATGCCTTGGTGGATGAGGCTGCTTTTGGCTGCATTGGCCTTTTCCCGCTCCCGCCGCCGTGCAGGGTCCAACTCAAAGCAGCGCCACAGCCGCAGGGTCTCATCTGCTGCTGCTGATGCCACTGTAGCTCCATCTGGGCTCATGGTCAGACTTAGGACCCGGGCTGTGTGACCTGGGGCACAACAGGGGGAAAAGTGAGAGCAGTACCTATGAAGGTAGATACCTGTAGCCCTCCAGGTCTGAAAGCTGCCTAGCTTTTTTGGTTTTTGGTTTTTTACGACAGCTTTATTGAGATAATTAACAATTCACATACTACAAAATTCAGCCTTTTAAACATACTATTCATTAGCTTTTAGTATACTCACGAGCTGTGCAAACATCATGACAGTAATTCTAGAACATTTTCATCACTGCATAAAGAAAGTCACTCCCTACTACTCTGCTCCCAGCCCCTAGCAACCACTAATGTTCTCTCTCCCTGCATTTGCTGCTTCTGGACATTTCATATAAATAGTCATACAATAAAGGTGGCCTTTTGTGTCTGGCTTCTGTCACTTAGCACCTACCTTTGAGCTCAGCCACCTTGGCCATAGTTGGGTACTTCCAAATAACCAGCTGGTTCTGGGCAAAGCCATGGCCTGAGATGAGCTCCTTGTAGTGGGAAGACCAGAGGATGGAGCACACCTGTGGAGAGGGGATGGCATGGGCATGAGAGAGGGCCAGTGCCACTCAAATCAGAACCAAGTCCTCTCTGGTGTTAGGCACCCTGCCAGGTGCTATGGACTCAAACTTGAATGTTCGTCATCTTTACAAAAGCCTTTTGAGAGTTGTAACTGTTACCCATTTTACAGACAAGGAACCAAACAGAAGGAAGTTCAGCAAGTAGCCTAAGATCACATGTAATTAAGTTAGTAGGTGAGAGAGCCAGGATTTGAACTCTTGCCCCAGAGCCCAAGTGTTGAGTGCAGGTTGCATGCATGAAGGTGGGAGGAGGGGAAGCCAGAGTGGTTGCAGACAGACCCTCCAGCAAGGGCCTCAAGTATTCTGACAGATTTGGATTATACATGGAAGGTGACAAGGTACCATCACCAGGCTGAAGGGGGACAGTAACAGACCACCTGGATCAGTGCAGAGGACAGACTGGAAGAAACAGAGTGCTGAGACCAGTACTGTGGGAAGGAGGATGAGGCCGAGGGGAGGGGTGAATGATATTCTGAGGTAAAACTGATACATCTTGGTGACTAGGTGAGGAGGATGAAAGATTCAAGGTTTTTCAAATTTCTGAGTAGTGTCACTCTCAAAAAAACGTAGGAGGAGGAACATGTTTCAGGGAGGCAAGGGGAAATGACAAGCTTAATTTGGGATATATTAGGGTGGTGCCACCTATAGGACATGGGGTTAGAAATAAGCGGTCTGTGGACTGTTGGAAATAATGGGTCTGGAGCTCATGAGTGAGCGCTGAGTTAGCAGTTTGGAAATCATCAGGGTATAGAGTTGTGAAGCCACTGGAGGGGACATGGTTGCCCCAGGAAGACTAAATAGACTAGGAACACATCTGGGAGTGAGAGGCTGGAGTAAGGAGGACTACCTGGGAATGGGCATCCACAGCACTCAGACAGGCCCCAGAGCAGACATTCCAGATACGAATGTGTCGATCACTGGTGCCCCCTCCAGTTGCCAGGACATTGGACTGCCAGGGACACCAAGCTACAGCCTAGGTGGGAAAAAGGTGGGGTCAGCAGGTACTAGAGTGAGACAAGGAGCTATGTAGGAGTTACAGATCAACCCAGTCCCATCCTACCATCCCATCTCCCCTTAATAGTCCCCAGGTTCTGGGTGAGAGTCTGCAGAGGCCCCAGCCCAGCCCCACTCTCACCTTGACAGCCCCTTGATGCTGGGTGAATGTCTGCAGAGGAACCCAGCCACCCTCTCCAGGAGCACTGGGCCACACGTTGACCAAATTATCATTGCCACCACTGGCTAAATGTCGTCCATCTGGGGCCCAGCGCAGCCCACACACTTCCTGGCTGTGGCCACTCAGTGTGGCCACATGGTGTTCTGCCACCCGAACGTCATGGTGGTGGATGTGGCCAGAGCGTGAGCCACTGCAGGAGGGAAGAGGGAATCAGGTTTTGTGGCAGTGCCAAATGCTGCCAGCAGCCAGAGTTAGAACTTTGGAAATCATCAGGGTATAGAGGTTCAGTTTGGAGGTGTACAGTCAGTCTGGGAAGAGTGAGCAAAAATCACAGACTGATTTTGTAACAGACTAGCAAAATCCACTGACCTGGACAGGATATAGCTATTCCAACAGAGAGAGCCCACTCGGGCAGAATGACTGGTCATGTTTCGAAGTCGTTTCTGCTGTTGCACATCCCATAGCTACAGAGAGCGAAGACCATTAGGATCAGAGATTGGGATTTGGCATGACCATCCTCCCGCTGTGCCTGGGTCTGGGGGACAGGGGAGCTGCAGCACAGGGACAAGTCTCACCTGCACCTCAGCACTGCTGGTGCCCACAGCCAGGTAGTTGCCCTCTTTGATCCAGGATACAGAAGACACATAGTCCCCAGGCTGCTCCATTTGCAGCAGCTGCAGGATGTCACCAGAGCTGGCACTCCACAGGTACACACTGTTGTCCAATGCCACAGCGAGTACATTCCCAGAGCTCCAATCCACAAGGTTCAGGTCTGCCAGAGGAGGAAGGGAAGCACATGAGCTACCTTGCTTGCCTAGTTCCTGAGCCCTCTTTCTCTATCTACTGGACAAGGGGAAGGCTGCACTCACAGTAGTCATTCCGGATTTCAGGGGCATCCAGGATCCGGTCTGGCAGGGAAGGAATGTAACGGCAGGTCTTCCTGCTAGAGCCGGGTGTGGCCTTCTGGCTATAGAGTACTTTCAGTCTGTTCTGGTAACCTGTGGCAACAGAGTGGGTCTAGACACTGGGAGAACTGACACCTCCCCCAGCTCCTCACCTGGAGGGCTGGATAAGCACCTTCCCTCCCCTCAGTCTTAGGTGCCAAGAGCAGACAGGCATCTCCCCTGAGCCGGGACGATGGAACAACATCTCCCTCCAAGAACTTTAGGTCTTACCCTCTGGGGCATTTTGTGGTTTCCCACTGAGCCGAAGGATCTTGGCTTCCTCTACATCAAAACCGTTCAGGTTCAGAGCCCAGGCTTTCTGATGTTCCTGGCACATAAGAGTGGTGGTGAGGCAAGCGGTGTTATCCAGATTACACAGACAGGTCCCCTGCCTTAAGCCCCTTTGGGACACATACCTTTTTGGTGGGCGTCTGGCTGTTTTCGGGCTGATTCTCCTTGCTCAGGAGGAAGCTGGCCACCTCCATCTGGGAAGCACTGCGATGGGGGATATAGCGGTCACCGCCAGGTTTGCTGGGAGTGGTCTGAATCTTGGAGCTGGATTTCCCTGGGGCGGGGAGAGGGAAACCAGACAATCTGACCAGGCTCCCGTGGGAGGAGAAAGCATTCAGTCTTTCCCTCTCCCTCCCGGTGTCCCGCCGCACCCCACTGACCGGGAGTTCGGCCCGGGGTCCTGCCAGCGCTATGAGATCGGTTGGCGGCCCGCATGGGCGAGGGGACGGGCCCCGCGGCTTCCTTGGCTTTGCGCTGCCAGCGCGCTGGGGGTGCATTGGGGATGGGTGTATCCAGCTGCAGCAACGAGTGCAGGTCACTCTCGAACACGAACTGGGCCATGGAAGCGTCTGGACGGGGAGAGGTCCTTGCAGTGGCTGCCGGCCGAGCTTCGGAGGAAGAGAGATGACCGTGATCTGGGACGCCCGGCCCCACAGTCAGGGCCACCCAGGCCGCAGCTCCTCCTGGCCCGACACCCCCGGCCGCGGCCCCACCCCGGCTCTCTCGTCCCAGCTGCCTCTCACCGTCAGCTCACAGCAAGTTCCGATCCCGGACCAGCCTTAACAGTGTGGACTGAAGCTTCTTAAACTCTCCGCTCCAAGCACTCATTGGCTCCTTCAAAACTCAACTGTCCCAACCGTCGCCCTCTTCCATTGGCCTCCACGGCAGGGGGGCGGGTCTTCCGGGGGAAGTCACAGATCTCACGGGAGTCCAGCCGTGGAGCGGGATTTGAAGGGTGAGACAGAGGCAAAGCCAGGTCTTAGAGAACCGGTGTCGGATAGTGGGCGGGGCGGGGCGCGTCTGGGGCGGGGCCTGCGTTGCTTGCATTCCCCAGTCGCTTCCATTCATTCCGCAGCTTCCCCGCACCCGCCCTTCATATTTAAACCCAGCCTGTGGATCGTATTTACGATGCATAGTGCAGGACTCGGTGGAATGACCTAAAGCACTTCAGGTGTTTAGAGAAGGTTACAGGCAGCAGGCGGCCGCTGGCGGGCTAGAGTGGAGCGAGGAGGGGGCTGCGGGGAAAGGAGTAGACGGAAAAGCTTGGGAGCAGAAACAAGGCCAGAGCATCCACTGTTTAGTACCAGCAGGAATACTGCTAGGACGGAAGTAGCACGTGTTTGTTTTTAAAAACTGTTTTGTTATTGCTTTACAAACAAGTAAAATGAGGCTGAAAGAGGGGTGAATCCTTTGGTCCAGAAAAAGAATCAGGATTCAGACTTGCCTATCTGGGAGATAAGATTGGGGTGCCCTGTGAGGGGAAACTGGCTTACCTCCATGAGGCTTTAGCAGTGTCAGGGATTTTAGAGCTTCACTAGTTTAATCTGCACGTGGTGCGCCCTCCCTATCACAGCAACATACCCATATTTTTGGCTGAAGAAGCCGAGGCCCAGGAAGGGATTTGCCTGAGGTCCCATGGAATCCAGGTCTGACTCCCATTCAGTCCATGCTCTAATAATGACTTAAGTGAATTGTGTAATATGCTTAGAGGTGAAGTAGCAATAATATAAAATAATGGGTACCATTCTTTGGCCATCTGCTAACTACTGTGTTTAAACAATTTACATACATTACTGTGTTTAACCCTTAATCTTATAAAGCAGATGCTTATCCTCTTTTTACAAAAAATGGGTCAAGGAAAGGTTAGAAACTTGCCCAAAGGCACATAGCCAATAATAATAAGCAGTGAAGCCAAACTATCTCACTAACCCCAGCAACCTAACCATATGCTATACTGTCCTAGAGAGAGGCTAGAAAAATCATGTTTTCAATCATTAGGTTAAGATCGACTCTGATGATGACAGAGAAAAATCTGGGGCTCTTAATGCAAACTTAATATTGTTATATTATATTATTTTTTATTTTGAAGCATTCATGTTGTCTATTTCCAGTTACCTTGGAAAACAAGGAGTTAGCTGTCCTGGGCTGGAAATAGGGAGTCCCTGAATGTCAGAGAACACAGAAAGCAGTCAGACTGGTCAGGGCCTTAAAAGTTAAAGCTAAGTTTAGACTTAATCTGCCAGGATTGTGGAATCAGTGAGAGTTTCTGTGCAGGGAAGGGCCAAACAAAACATTTCTGAGGGCAGGACATGGACAGAAATTTGCAGCTTCTGGAGTAAGGGTAGCTGTAGAGAAAAAGAATAGGGTAAATATGCGTACAACCTCAGGGAATTCGTACATTTAAAAATAAAGGAATGAGGGGGAGGGTATAGCTCAAGCTGTAGAAGGCATGCTTAGCATGCATGAGGTCCTGGTTTCAATCCCCAGTACCTCCTCTAAAAATAAAGAAATAAAGCTAATTACCTCTCTCTTCCCGCCAAAAAAAAAAAAAAAAAAAAAAGAATGAAAGAAGCCATTGGAGTTTCTATTGATCTGGACCTTGAAGGGGAAGGAATTCTAATATGATACAAAACGATCAAGTAGGATGATGACAGAAAAGGTCAGAGCTGGTGATTGAGAAGCAAATTATCAGTGAACTTGGAGAGAGGTGAAGGTGCTCCTGTTCTATTTGGAAGGGGTTACAGAAAGAAGGGCAGGGAGAATGTGGAGGCAGCAAGCACGGGCTACTTGTGTGAGAAATACGGGAGTGAGAAAGAGGGCAGTGCATGGGAGCTCAAGGGAATGCCAGCACCAAGACGCCTATGCGTGTTTGAAGGTGAAGGCAAAAGGGCCAGGGGAGATGGAAGAGGATGGGCAAGGGCCAGCTGGTAGAACCAGATGTCTGGATACCTTGCCCAGGAAGAAAGGGGATAGAAAACACAGGGAGCTTTTTCAGTCTAGGAAAGAAAGGTCACTTCCTCTTAGGCTGGAGGGAAGGAGAACAAGGACTTAGAGATAATTAGAGGCTGAGGAACAGTGTCGATGGGGAAACTCCCACCTAAAGGACCTAAATCCAGGTTAGCAAAGGGCATGGCAGGAATAAAATATAGGTGATATTCGGGGAGTGGAACAGCCCAGTTGAGATAATAATAAAAATATCTCAGTAAACACTGAGTATTTACTATGTGCTTGGCATTGTGTTGATACTTTTAATCCTCACGCTAGGGAAATAGTGGAAGAGAAAGAGATCAGGTTCTGAAGAGTCAAGCTAAAGATTTAGAGGTAAGAAGTGGGCAAGGAGAGAGATGAATAGGAAGATCAATTTGGAGGCAACGTACAGATTGGATTTAAGGAGAGAGACTGGAGGCAGAGATATTAGGTAGAGGCTGTAGTAATAGCTCAGGTGAGATGGAGAAGAGGAGGCAGAATTCAGGACGTAAAAGTGGTCATGATGGCTGAATGGGTGAAGAGGCGAGAGGTTCAGTGGTTTGGATCTCAACCTTAGTTTTGAGTCCCTAGGGACAGAGTCGGAGCCTTGGACATGGCTGGGGGAAGGAATTATGGGAAGTGAGTATACTGGATGTCATCCATTTGTCCCATCCAGACCTACTCTTCATCCTTCTCTACTCTGCCCTGGGCCCAGTGAGGCTGACATATATGACCTGCATCAAAGGATTCCCTTGGGCTTGGGTTTCTATTTGTATTCCACCAATGGGAGGATGTTATGTGTTAAATTGTGTCCCACCCCCTGCCAATTTATATGTTGCCTACTTAAGTCCCAGTACTTCAGATTGTGACCTTATTTGGAAATAGGGTCACTCCAGATATAATTAGTTAAGATGAAGTCATTTGGGTGGGCCCTCATCCAAAATGCTAGATGTTCTTGTAAAATGGAGAAATTTGGACACAGACACATACAGGGAGAACGCCACGTGATGATGAAGGCAGAGATGGAGGTGATGCTTCTACAAGCCAAGAAACACCAAAGATTGCCAGGAGACCCCTAGAAGCTAGGGGAGAGGCATGGAACAGAGTCTTCCTTATAACTCTCAGAAGGAACCATCCCTGCTGATACCTTGAATTTCTAGCCTCCAGAACTGTGAGAAAATAAATGTCTGTTGTTTAAGCCGCCAAGTTTGTGGTACTTTGTTACGGCAGTGCTAGAAAACTAATACAGAGGAGATCAGAGGGTGGGGTAGAACAGGCGTGAGCTTTTTATTCCCCTGGCTCAGTCCCTACCATGTCCCCACAGGTTGGCTGTGGCTCTGCCACAACTCCTGCCAGGCAGCCCTCTCTAGCTACTGTCTCTGAATCTCGGATCTCGGAGCTCATAACCACTCTGTCATCTTACCCCTTGATGCCTAGTGGTGGGGAGGGTGGGGAGGGGACCAACTCCCAGCTGTTGTTAGCCCTGGGATACTGCACTATTTCTTGATGGTTTTCCTAACTCCTGCCATATCTTTATAAATATGCCGTTTATTAAACTCTCATCAAGATACCCAGACTGAATATATCATCTATGCCAAGATCCTGACTGATACAGTGAGTATGTCTGGAGTCAGCAGAAAATACCACTGGTTTGAGAATTTGAATGGGTCAGGGGAATTCATAACCAGAACGGCCTAAGTGCATTTACCACTGCATATGAATGGCATAAAAGATGAGGGAGGTCGGCCTGGGGTTAAGGTGGCATTGTCCAGAAAGATTTCCTTCATTGAGAAAACATTTATTGAAGGCCTACCACGCACCAAACACTACTCTAGGTGCTGGGGGTAAGTGTTGGGGAGGGGAGAAGACAAATAAATCACAGCCTTTGCCCTCAAGGAGCTCACAATCTAGTAACAGAAAACAGATATGTAAATGGTTACTTGCATAAAGGATCACAGGTACTGTAACAGAAGTCTGGGCTGGAGATAAGAACTTTGGAATGGTCAGTAGAGAGGAAAACAATGAGAGTAGATGGGATTGGAAACTGTTACGAATGGACTCTTGAGGGAATGCAATAATTAAAAGGGGAAGAGACTCAAGGTTAAGAGATTAGGAAGGAATAATTATGATTATTTAGATATATCAAACACAACACATTCCTAGGCAACATGCTTTACTCAGATTACCTCACTAAATGCTCTTCACAACCCTATGGGGTTCTATTATTACCCTTGCTTTATAGATGAGAAAATTAAGACTCGAAGACTTTAGGTTATTTGTCCAAGATTGCACAAATAGCAAGTGGGAAAGACAGGAATTGAACCCAGCTCTGACTCCAGAATTTATGTTCTTGATTACTAATATACTTAGAGAGACCTGAGCAGAGCCAGGAGAGAGAGTAATTATGCGAGCTATGGTAGGAGAGAATTTAAAGGAGAAATGGGTAGTCACCATGACAAATGCCAACAGAGAGATCAAATAAATTGAGGATTAACAAGATCCAATTGGATCTTTTTTTTTCTCTATTGGATCTTGCAGTTAGAAAGTCTGAGTCTCATTAGCAGAGTGATAGTGGGAGGGATTAATTGAAGTAGTCTGAGGAGCAAATGGGAATAGGGAAATGGAGCCTTCTTTTCAGGGAGTTTGGCATTAAAGAGGAGAGAGAAAGGAGGTGAAAGTTATAGGATCTTAGTCAAATGAACCTTGCCTGAGGAGAGAAGGTCCTGGATCTATGTCAGTGGCAGTACCGAAAGATCAGTGTTACAAAACCCAGCTAGGAGGATAGACAAGGGGGAGGGAAGTGGAGTCTGAGATGGTTGTGTTGTTGAGATAGGATGGGTAGGGAAGTTTAGAAGGAAGCTCTAGAGGGTTTGGATCTGTCCAGGGTACTGGGACCGAGGGGCCTGCCAACAGCTGAGAGGTAAGTAGGAATGGTTGGCGATGTGAGTAGTGCAGTAGGACCCCAGCTCAGCCACAGGTGGGCACACAGACAGGGGCATGGTCCCCAGGCAAGAAGGCTGCAATCCTCTGTAGTCCATCTGGGTTTGGGAGGAACATAGGGGCAAGGGAGTCTTCTCTGAGGTCTTAGGTAGAATTTCAAGGAGGCTGGGTTCCACTTCCTCATAGGCATCTGAGACTGCAGCCTTGGGCTGGGAGAAATGGAGGTTTGGATTAGAGCAGGTCCTGTGGGAGCAGGACCTGGACTGTGTAGGAAAGAGGGTTTGGCTGGAGGTGAGTTCTTGGGATGGTATGCTGGTGGGCAAGGGCCTTGGAAAAGTTGTGTAGTGGGGCAAAGATCCAGCTCCAGGCAGGGCTGGTGGTGGGGACCTGGGAGGGGAGTGCACTCACCGGATTCAGGCCAGCAGTATCCCTAAGGTACTGGCCGAGGACCCGGTGCAGGTCTGGAAGTGAGGGCCACAGGGCATGCCTCAGGCTCCTTGAGAAGAAGAAAGAGAAGGAGACTGAGTTGTGGGAGTGAGTTGAGAGGAGGGATGAGAGTACTGAGGTGGGGCAGTGGGGGAGGTAGTGAGGTGAGGGAGTAAGGCTTGGAGAGGTAACAGTGTAGCCAAGGCAGTAAAGTAAGGTAGAGGAGCACAGGTGGAAGGGAAACCTTAGATGGGAGAGGGAAGTCAGTGATGGGGAGGTTCAAAAAAGGGGTTTTCCTATCCTCAAACATTCCTGCCTCAGGGCCTTTGCACTTGTATTCTCTGCTTGGAACACTTGATTTATTCCCTCACTTCATTTAGGTTTCTGCTCAAATGTCATCCTGCCAGAGAGGCTTTCCTTGACTACCCTGGCTAAAATAGAACTGCCTCCCTTTCCCATTACACTGTCTCCTGCTCTGATTTATTTTTCTTTATAGTACTTCACTTATTCTGTATTTATTATATTACTATATATATTAAACATACTAGAGTGTAAACTTCATGAGAGCAAAGAGTTTGTCTATTTGCTCACTCTTGTATCTCCAGGATGTAGAAAAGTGTCTAGCCCATAATAGGTGCTCAAGAAATTAGTTGAATGAAGGAGTGAGGAGAACCAATAGAGCTTAACATTAAGTTGCTGAGGAAGGTGGTCTATCTGGGAAGAACATGAATTAAAGTATATTGGGGGAATCTCCAACTCATATTTCATATTTCCTCATGGAGAGACTTTAGCTGAACAATATTTTAGGCCTCTTCTGTGACCTCACTCCTATCTTTCCAGGGGAGGAGGAGTGATGTATCGTAAATGGGGAAAAGGAACTGAGTAAGCCTGTTTCCCCAACATTTTTTTGTTGTTGTTGGATCTGGCTCCCTGCATCAAGGCTACAGTCCAGTCTGCACATACAGATGGGTGGATTAAAAAGCTCAAAGACATGTTCAAGGAGAGATGCGGGCACAGAATAGGGGCATCTCATCTAGCCTAGAGCCATTGAAAGAGGCCACCTGGAGGAGCTGCCTTCTGAGCTGAGTCTTCAAAAAGCGAGAGATATTACCAATTGAAGGACTGAGGTGGCGTGGATTCTATCCTTTATGTTTATAACTTCCAATGACACTTCTCCTCAGCCTTAGTCTTCCCACCTAAACAAGTCATTCATTAGTAACATTTATTTAAGGGTGTGCTATTTGGCAGGCAAAGTGCTGAGGTTTTAAGGATGACCAGTAAGGCATGGGGAAGATATATAAAGAAATGAATGCAGTAAAATGCTATGGTACTATGAAAGAAGTCCGTACTGGGGCACAAAGAGAGCAGCCAATAGGGGAGGGTCAGGAAAGGTTTCCTAGGAGTTAGTGAAGAAAGTTATTTAAAGATAAATGGGTATTAGTCATCCAGGGAGGATATTCCTGGCAGAGGGGACCTTACGCGCAAAGGCACTGAGAAGTAAAACCTCTTGGCTTGTGGAGGAAATCACCAACAGTTTGGCATGGCTGATGCACAGGGTGGGAGGGTGGAAGTGCTGGGAGCGGCCAGATTTTGCACAGCCTTGTGTCTCATTCTAGAGTTTGGATTTTATCCTGGGGAGCTAATAATGAGATTTAAGGAGGTGGAGTGACAAGTTCACGTGTGCATTTCAGAAAGATTATTCTGGTGGCTCTGTGAGGCTAGGTTAGGGGAGAGAAGAGGCTCTGTTTCAGTGAATCAGGTAGTGCTTGTAGAGCTGGAGAAAGGGAGTCATTGTTTGAACGAGGTTCAGGAGGTGGAATGACCAGACCAGAGCAGACTGAGTAGGGGGGAGGGAGGCGCCTAAGTGTTCTGTCTTGGGTGACAGGTGGACAGTAACCTTGCTACTGGGATGAAGAGCCAGAAGGTGGGGCTATTTGAGGTGTCCAGTATAATGGGCTTGCTCAAGTGTAAGGAGGCGGTGTGACGCCACGGGATGGATGTAGGATTGTCCAGAGAGCGGGTGTCCCAGAGTGACCTGGGGATGCTCCTTTAGAGGACGCAGGCCCCACCGGACCGCAGCCCCGTCCCGCGCGTAGCTCTGAGAGGTACCTGTAGTGCTCAGGAAACTGCCACCTCAGCAGCAGCACGCCCAAGAGGGCGCTGAGGCCCAGCACCAAGAGCAGAGAGGTCACCAAGGAGATCCAGGCTGTGGGACAAAGTAAGTCAGACCTGGGCAGCCCCTGGCCGGAGCCCCGC